TAATTTTCTGTTTTGTTTTCTTCTTGGATCGGGCTTTAAAAGGTTAAAGCGTGCATCTCTCACTGACCCCTTTTAATACCAATCCAAAAAAAAAAAAACAGTGCAACGAATTCATAATTTGCTCTCAGTGTTGATGAAGCTGTTCTGTTTCTGGTTTGTTTTCAAACATTGCATCGGTGTTTCTCACCTGTATAGATTTGTTTGTTCTTGCAGTTTTTCTTGTACTTATTGAATGATAAAATGTTAAATCTGAAAAGGCATCTTTCTAATTTAGAATGAAATAAAGGAAAGTGCAGATGTCTCCTATTCTCTGAGTCTTATTGGAACTTATAGCTATTTTTTTTTGCAGCGAGCTGCTAATAAATGAAGTCAGTAGAGCGTTTCTCTGGTAGAAAGTCAGATATTTCCCCTCAGGCTTCCTGGAGATGAAAACGGAGCTAAAGGATGGTTAACGAAGCTGGACATCTCTCACCATGTGAGCAGGACGGCATGATGTGGCTTTTATGAATGTTAATGTAATTTGCCCCCCCCCCACAGTGCAGGCGGGAGGTTTACTGTGAACCTGAACGATTTGATGCTTCCCCTTCTTTCAGCTACATTAAACCAAACAGGTGTTTTTTTTTAGACTTCTTTAACTCTATATAACCTCTGCTGTAAGGTTGGTATCTTTGCACACCCCCGCCCTCAGATGTTTAGACTATTTTGACATCAGAGTTTAGCCAAACAGGATAAAGAAAACTTTTTGACATTTCACCTTTTGAAGCATTTATATCTTTTATAGATTTTATAGACTGCTTGAATTAAAGTAAATTCTAAATAACAGCATTTTTTATGATATTTATAGCTGAATTCAGGCCAAGGCAGAAGAAAACTAAGTGACTGCTTGCGCCTTGGAGGAACTACAAGGCCCCTTACATCAATTAATTTGTGTTTTTATGCATGTATAGTACATTCTCTATACATATAACCAAAAAAAATAATAAGATTGTGCAGTTTTTATACATTTAATTGTTTAGAAAAAATAAATCATGATTGCAGTGATGTTATCAGTGAGCTCTGCAAACAGAAAAGCCAGAAAGCACAGGACTTAAGGAGGGAATTGGAGTATTGAAGGTAGTATATGTTTTCAAATTGAACTTTTGCATATAGTTCATACATTTACAAAATGTAATATCCTACTTTAATTTCATTTTCTGCTGTGGTTAAAAGTAAACATTTTATTTGTTTAATATTAGCTTGATAATTTGTTTTAATTTTTTTATTTATGTTTTTTAGATTTCAGTTTATTTTCTTTTACTTATCCTCGCTTTTTTTTTTTTTTTGCAGTTTTTCTTGGACTAAAGTTTATTTTTGCTGCTGCAGTTGAGCTGAATATTTATTTCATTACTTTTATTGACACTAGCTGATGTATATGTCAGGTTTATTCAATGATGATTATAAAATGAATGCATGTGCATATAGAACATAAAAGAAATGAGATGCTTAACTTTGTTTACTGCAAACTGTCATGCAACTTTGGTAGAAAACTGCTGATGTTTGTGCAAGGATAATCACAGTTATCGGGAGACCGCTCTATTCTAAGATTCAATCAGGAGGAGCATTTTGTCCTATGACCCGATCAATTGCCTTGTCAGAAGAACACTGTTCTGTAACCCTCCCCATGTGGTATGATCTGCTAATAAAAAGGCTTCTGCTGAGGAAACCCACCAGAGAGCAAGACGTGGCTGAACGTGGCTCTCTCCTCCTGCAGGAGCCAAAAATCCCTATTCTGTGTGGACTCAGTTTATTTATTATGAACCTACAATTTTGAACGTAACGGCATACATTTGGAAGAATGTAAACAGCACCACCAGCGCTGAAATTATTTAGTAAGTGTGTCAATTATCTGATTATTTATCTGTTAATTGCAGCAATGGATATTATTGGCAGAAATAGAGGCCCCAAAGTTGCATTTTATTTAGGGGCCCCTGCCTGAATTAACAGTGTTAGAATATAGAATTACTCTACAATCAGAGTTGCTTTAAATAGAGCTGAACCTGTAAGGTGTTCCAGGATTGTATGATGTGTTCTGCTAAACACATCAGGAAGTTTGGGTAATTAGTAATGAATGACTCTATAGCAGGTTCCTCAATTCCAGACTTGAGGTCCTGTAAATCAAGACACTGTTAACACCAAACCAAAAAAACGCATATTTGCACAATAGATATGCGTTTTTTAGAGAAATATTTTCAAAAATAAAAGAACAGTGAATATACAGCATGAAGCATGTCCTGTTCTATTAATGTTTGTAGTCATCAAGATCTTATAAACTCAAACTCTTTCAAATGTCTTTTATTAAGAAAAAACTGAAATCACTAATAATTACTGCCATGCATCTCAAAGCTTTTCATTTTTCATATATTGCATGCAAAAGGAAATTTACATTAGCTGCAATAAATTCAGCACAAGTTTCACATTTTTTAATAAAATAAAATAAAATAGTTCTCTTAAGTTTAAATCCATCATAGTTTTCTGGTCATTTTACTTTGAATATATTTAAATATCTCTATATCACTTCACCAAAAATGTATCATGAAAAATAAACTATCAACTAACAGGTCACAGTGAACCCTAAAGCCTCACAAACAGCAACAGCAGAGGAGATCAGTTTCAGTATAAAAAAATAAAAGGACATAAATTACAGTTATTTAGAAAAGAATAATAATAAAACAGGTTTCTGGGTACACATATATAGATATATATGTCTTAAATTATTAAACACTTCTTTCTTAAACCGTGACTAATTATGGTAATGTAGTGCAGCAGGTTGGCCACAAAACAATTACATTGATAGAAATTTACAGGAACATGAAGCATAAACTGACTCCTGTTAACACAATGCAGAAAACCTGAAACCTTCAGTTTAAAAATACTCTAAAAATTTTTGTTTTCAGATTTAGCTTGGAACCACTTCACCCAATCTTCAGTAAACAACGTTGTAACTTCCTGACCTGAGGGGGGAAATCTTAAACCTGCAATCCTGATAGAAAATGTTTGAGGAAATTGCTGTTTTCCAACCTTGACTTATTAAACCAACAAACGTTTCTAAATAACTCAGTTTGAAAGCAAGACATAATTATTTGGTACATTCTTATTGAATTTTTGCACTCCGTTATACTAGAATCATCTCATTTATATTTTCAACAGAAAATATTGAAAATTAAAAACTGAATGTTATGAAATCTGATTAGGAAGGAGAAATCTATTCATTCAATGTCTAAAGATGCTTATCAATGTAGGGTTGCAGACGAGCTGCTGCCTATACACTGGAAAAAACCCAAATCTAGATAAGTCATTTTTTCTTAAAATAATCTTAAAATGTTCTTTTATTTACTCTTAATTTACTCTTAAAATAGGAAAACACAATTGCATTGTATTATTTCAAGTGCATTTTAACTAATTATCTTATTTTAAGAGTAAAAATACTCATTCCATTGGCAAACTATCTCATTTACATACTCAAATTAAGGGAATATAAACTTAATTTAAGAAAATTTTACTTATCTTCTAAGACAAATCAAGAGATGACGGAAAATTTAATATGCCTGTTTTTGGATTGTGGGAGGAAAGAGGAGTACCCAGAGAGAACACCTGCTTGCACAGGAAGAGCATGAAAATCCCAGCCCTGAAGGCCCCGATAATTTATAGTCAGCCCACAGGGAAACTCCCAGAAATCCTAAGAAATAGTTTGTTTAAATGTTTGCTCAACTTCATCAGTGCCACTAAAAGATTCCACAATTATCTGCACAAAAGATAACAAACATTTAAAAAAATGGTTAAATTTACTTGGAATTTAAAGGTCATAGTTACAACTTTTTCATCAAAACAGTTTTCTAAATACATCCACAGAACGTTTAGAGTGGCGCATAATAAAAGTATACATATACCGGAAAAAACAGCATATAAATATTTGTTTTATGCATTTTCGATGGGTCCAGAATATATAAATATTTACCTTTGGTTACGACGATACCAACATTGACACAAAAGGAATCTTGCACCAATAGGAACAATAAGTTGAAGTGACATTTGCCAGATGTTAGTAGCTCTGTGACCAAGCTGAGAAATTGCTTCTTCTTAGATGAACATTTCTCAGATTCAAGCCATAAAAAAAGGACAAGAAAGGAGCAAAATGAGGGAGAAGATCAGTCAAGCTTTTGAGCATTTGAGCTGAGAGGCTCATAACTTGAGGTTGCACCTCATGTCCAAGTATGGTGGAGGATCTATAATGCTGTGGGTCTGTTTCACATCCAATGACCATAGCAATATCGAATGAAATACATTACAATCTATTTTTCTTTACAATGACAGGATATTTTGGATAAAACTCTGGGTTTTTAAGGAATCCAAGAGTTTTGTAATGTTAAACACATTCAGCATACTTTTTATCGTCCTCTCAGTCCTACACCAAAAACCTAAAGTGGTGAGATGAGCTGATGAGAAGAGAACCCGTCCAGAACCCTGTGGACTCTTCACCTGCACAGAGTTTGGTTAATTGAATGACATCTTAAACCTCCACCATATAAATAATCTTTAATAAAAGGTTGATTTTTTAAAAAATGTTCACAGTGAGATTGAGCTAATTAGATAAAATCCAATTTTTTTTGTTGTTGCTTTTTTAGCATCTTTGACAAAAATGTCAATAAATAAAGATGGAGCTGTCCATCCAATCCAGTGCTGATTCCTGTATCATCAATAATTTTAAAGTAATTTATTTAGTAGAACACATTTGTTGAAAAAAACAAACAAAAAGTGACCTGACAAAATCAATTATTTCCTAAATGTTGTGACAATAAAAGGTAGTTTAATTCACCCAATTGGATATTAACTAAAGACGATTTATTAACTATAACGATTTGTTCATGTGTCCCTTTTCTTACAGGCTTGCCTGATAAAACGCTTTCATAAAATAAGAGGTTTGATCGTCATCTAAACCTAAGGTGCTCCCAATGATCAGGCTAATTTCTGATGACTTGTTAGCCAAGTCACACAGTTCATGGTTTGTACTGTAAACATGATGCAAAAAAAATAAAAAATAGTCTAAAGTGTAAAAAGAGCATGTAAATGCATGAAATATGAGACCACCTCCGGTCAGATATAACATCAGTGTTTAATCCAGGATGTTATTAATCCGTGTAGAATAGGCAGCCTCTGAATAAACGGGGATATAATATAACAGATTATTTATGTCAGTCATTAGGTCTGAAAAAGGTAAAATCATTTAGCTTCATAACACGCAGGATATTATATCTGAAGAGTTTATTTCTGTTAACTGGGATGATTTCAGAAATGTTTGTCAATGTTCTGTTGTTAGTCGAGGCTCCTTTTATATGACTTACTGCATTAGTGCAGAGTTTCATGGAGGAAACCTCTCTGCCGAAGTATTCAGGAATACCAGGTTGCTTCATTTGGATCTGGAATCTCTCAGCTTCCTCTTGCAATTAATAAACCATAGCTGGATTAAGCCAATCAAATTTCCTGGTGGGTGGTATCACTGACTGCACTGTTACTTTTTGACCTGTCTTCTGTTTTTGTGCGTGTTTCTTGGTCTCCCCGTTTTCTCCCTCGTTCTGCTTTGACTGTTCTTTCCAACGTGTTTCTTGCCCTTCCCTCTTCTGTCCGCCCTCCTCTGCCTGTCTGCTCCGTTTATGACCAAGCCTGTCTATCCTCTCTTCTCTAGATACTACCTGCCTTCTCCAGGATTTTTCTTTTATTATTCCATAAACATTTTAAAATTCAGCACAGTGTTTGGCTTTAATAATGGATTATGTGCACGTGACAAATCACAGTGGAACACCACCAGCAGATGACATGGCTTCTCAATGAGAGAAAAAATCTCCTAAATCTTCACCAAACTTTAAAACTTCACCACCTTCTCAAGACTGTGGTTATTCCGGTTGCTTCCATTACCTCTGCAAAACTTTTTCCCTCCACTCAACTTTCAAGCTTTACACAGGGAACAAGCATCTCTGTAATGAGACCTACTGTTACTGTGAAAGTCTGTATGGTCACCAGATTTCCACATTTCAATGGCCATAAAATAACTTGTCTGCATCAAAATTGATTTTGAGGAACTGGATTTGTGATTTCAATTAACTGTAAACCATTGTTACCTAAATGGAAATAAATAAGCTTTAAATATCATGTTGTGTGTGTGAAACTGGACATATATGATCCTTTTTTTATCATATTTTAACAGACTGAGATAAACCTATGAAAAATGTATTAGCATTAATATTGGTATCGGTCAGATTTGATGATTTTTGTGACATCATGTTGCTGTTTGTGTTTCAAAAGGAGGGAGGGGGAGGTGGGTTGGTTATGTGCTATTTGTCTTGACATCTGGCAGTGATGGCAATGCAGAGTGATTTTTATCGATTATTGGCAATAATGGGAATATTATTGTCAATATTTTTCTAAATTTCTACCAGTGTATCCCTCAAAGAAAAAGTTAAACATGTAACATAATGAAAAAATGTATGTAGATTTGAATCTAAACAAAGACTGAGGTTTTTTATAAGGTCAGATTTAGAGGTATTGACAGGAAGTTTCCCTTCATCCTTGGAAAAAGCAATTCTTTGCAAGTTTTCCCCAAGGTAAATTCCTTATGTTGTGGATGAGTTGTATTGATTCTATCCACCAGAAACCGTCCAAAAAAGCCAGATGACAAAGTGCCGCTTTGCTCCTCTGAACCTTTTAACATCTTGATGATTGTCATCTCCAGTTCGTGTGTGGAGTGGATCTGTGCACTGCAAACTGTGAAGTCCGTATATTTTCACCTCTTGGTAACACGACAGTAAAGTCTAAACCTGCTGTCATCAGCAGGTCAGACACACTAAAGCACACAGATCTGACGGAGTGATAAAACGGCATCCTTAATTGTTTTAAGTGGCTGGGGCAAAAAGGCAAAGGCTTCCCTTCTGTTTATGATCCCCAGTTTTTCTCTGTCAGCGTCGTTTTAGCTGGTGCACAACGAACAGAGTGCCAGCTGTCCCATCAAACGACTCCTCTGTAACTCAAAGCATCCCAGTTTATGAGTAAATGGACCAGTAAATGATGTTAAAGAGGATGTATGCTCCCGGAAAGAGAACCCTGGAGTACTTGTCTATGGCGTGGGTGTCAATCCAGATGTTAACGTAGCCTCTGGATCCCTTCACCTGACCCGTGATCTGGGGGTCATTCAGCGCCACCTGGGCCAGAATTCGCTCCTGGCGCCCACCGTTCTCAGGTATCCCATAATTTCCTGTGTTGTTGACATCCAAGGACCCATAGCCACTGATCTGTGGGTCGATCATCATTTCGTCTGGGTTGCCAATTCCACAAGTGCACGGCAGCTAAGCAAACATAGAAAGATAGAAAAAGGAATGAGTCATGTTTCCTGAACAGTAACAAACTATATCTTCTCTTAAATAAATGTATTTTTCAGCACACTAAAAGCATCCAAATGAGTTTGCTTTGAAAGATTTATCGGAGAAGATGTTTTTGCTGAAATGTTCCTGGAGGTATGTGAGCAATTTGGCCCCATATGCCACAACAGTTGGCACATGAAGAATAGCTATGCTGCAGTCCCAGAAATAATTCACCGCAGCCATCAGAGCAGCTTAAAGTGAGCTGATTCAGAGAACATTCATCTGTTTATTGGCTGCGACATCAGTTATTATTGCATGTTTCTACCAGTTTAAGAAATATCTTCATTAGTGAAACATTTCCCCCATAAATGAGGTCAGTCCCAGCTGATATGGAGGACCAGGAGAGTCACAGAAAAATAAATTAAAACCTTTCAAATTGAATTTAAATCACATCATTAGGAAACAAATTGAAGGTGTAAATTGAAGTTAAGATGCACTGTTACATGCTGCATTTAAAACTGTATTTTCAATTCTTAATTCTAAATGGAGATTTTAAAAATCAGATTATAAATACATTTTCTTTTTAACATTTCTTAATTAAAGGTAAGTCCTTTTTCCATTTTTTTTTAAATGTATTTGCAAATCAAATTCTTTTGCAGTTTCAGCTTATATGTGATCCTTCTGGTCCCTGATCAAACTGAAAACACAGTTCAGCCATCACAGTTTCAATGCTTAGACATCCACAGCTAGATCACAACATGGCGGCTTCCATAACAGGTACTGTGCACCTTTCATTGTTTTAAAAACTGTCACACTCTATCTTAGATCAAAACTATTAGGTGCTTAGTTAGTAGACATAGCTAAACTCTATAAACCTTTGAACTCAATGCTATTTCTGTCATTTTATATTGAAAAAGCTTCCTGGATGGGAAGCGAAACGTCTTCAAACTCGTAAACAAAGTCCAGTGTTTTTTTTGTTTTTTTTTTAACTTTTTTGGAATAATTAAAGCTTGCACATGAAGAACAACATGGGAACATGGGAAATCAACAGTGCAGTTGCTTTAAATCTACATCTACTGATCAGCCTGCAGCCACATGAACTGCTCCCCCACTGCTTCTTCCAACCTTCTTCCTCCAACAATACGGAGGCCAGCATGGTACAAAATGGCTTCCACGACGTCCGCATTACCTTACTTGTCAACTGATGACGACGTTTGTTTAATGAAGTGTCTGAGACTGTCAATATAGCTGTTATTTTTCAACATGGTGGTCATGTTTTAGTTAGCTGCTTATCATAGTGACATAAACAGACTAAGTAATTGTAGTTGTCTACCTACATGGTCTGTTTTATATAAATATTCCTAAACAAGTATGTTTTATTGCCGGCTCTGAGCGCTAAATGTAGTAAAGTTAATGTTCTTATTCAATACTTGCCAGAGTCACATTCAAGCATAATGGCAATCTGTAGTAGTTTGTCACCTCTGTGCTGCCGTGGCTCAAAGATTTCTACCTCCATAAATGTGAGACCCGCTCTTTAGTATTTATTAATAGTAATTTCTATGACAAGACAAACATAGAGACTGAGACTTTCAGTTCATACATGATAATACATAAACTTATATATAGTATATTACATTTGTCAGTAAATCAAGGTAATTATTACACACTGCAGCATCATCCAGCATCCATGTCCTTGAAATTTATTGAGATCAAACTGTCAGTTTGCCAAATCGGAGATTCCTCTAAGTTTCCACCCAGCTGGAGTTAGAAAGCAAGCAGGTGGAGCAGCAAAAGGTTAAATAAAAGCAAAATGGAAACGGCAAGGAGAATGCAAAGGGTCCAGAAAGGTCACTGAAATGCTAAAGGGAAACGGTAAAGTAAAAAGAAAAATAGAGTTGCAAAAATGATTTTAAAGGCAAGCTGAGCATGAAAGCTCAGAGTGAAAAGAAAATCCTGTCAAAAAGTTTGATACTGAAAGTCATTTATAATCAGATTTTTCCCCATTTAGATTAAAATCTTTAAAATAATCATATTTAACAATGAACTAATATAAGCATTAATACATCCGCTTTGACGATTCAATTTAAAATGTGCAAATAAACACTTTTCAAACTGGATTTCAATTCTAGGATTTAAAATTTAAAATGGTTGTTTAGCTCTATAATTTTGAACCTCATTGAACTTATTTTAAATGTCTAAGTTGTTGCTTTCCAACATATTCTCTTCCATCACAAAAGCAAAATGTTATATTTTATCGTTTGTGCAGCTTTGACCATGTTTCTCTGCAAAATAAATGAAGTCATAAATGAAATGTGCATTGATTTTAGTATTTAAACCTAGAGGTGAGCCTGATCCGATCTGCCTTTAGTCCAGGAACCACTTCTTAAGTCATTTGGCCCTTTTTGATCTGGACTTGCTCAGCATGGTTTGGTTATTAGAGTTTTGCATCAGTAATGGTTTTTGCTGTCAGCCCAGTTCTTTAGTAAAATCTTTGCAGTTGTTCCAAACAAGCCAAATCTTAAAGCAAGTTGTCACTATAAGTTGTCAATCACTTGGTAGGTAGGGCGTGGCATCGCTAATTGCATAACTTATGCAACCCCCTTCATGATCTTGGAGGGGTTTGTTATGATCCTGCGCTGATGAGTGAATTGATTGTTCATTCCATTTTTTGCTCTGCTCAGTTTCTCTTCACTGCTCATCTGTGACACCTGCACCAGTCTCTATTTAACCTACCTGCTTCCAGTCATCAGTAGCAGATTATTCGAGCCCTCGGTGAGAGTCTTCAGGCGAGTTTTAGTGTTTTCTAATGACCTGATCCTGACCCGTTCTGCCTGTGGACCTCTGAGCCTGCCTGATCTGTTTGGTTGACCTGTCTTAGGACCCCTGCTGGATTCTGCATGTTGACTGAACCTGGAACTGATTCCTGGCACTGTCCTGGATTTCCCCCCGGTACCTCCTCTGATGTCTGATCTTTTGGCCCGGAGTCCTGTGAATTTCCTTGATACCGGCTTTGGTTTGTCCGCTTGGATCTGATTTACTGCCTGTTCTTCAGTCTTCGGGGCTTCAAAGTCTGGGACTCTCAGGGCAGCACCAACCCCGTCATCGGTTGGACTCTACTTAGTCCTCTGGGCATGGACTGAATTTTAAGACCAGGTTAGTGACTCAGATGTTCATAATCTTCCTTCACCAGATAGACGTGGTGACTAACCTGTGTTTCCTTCCTGCAGAGGTTACTGCCATAGACACCCTTGCTGCTCACTGCAGATCAGCCATATTTAAATACGGTTTTGAGATATCATACTGCATGTCTGCCTGAATACTGGGTTCCCTATTCTGAGCCTTGACAGATATAAGAGTTTATTATAAGAATGAAAAAAAACAGAGACTGAAATACACAGCGTGGTTCAAAGAGATGAACTGTGCTTGGTGACTGATGAGAAGAAACAGAGGGAGCCAAAATTAAAAAGGGCCAGTTCTTAGATCTGATGTAAGGGTTTGATTGCTGCCGCAGGGCAGCATGGTGTGTGTTGCTGTTGGTCATAATTTAACCATATTCTGAAGTGCTAAACTGTCAGACAAAAAAGAAAAAAAGAGGAACTCTTCAATAAATTAGTTACAAAAATATCTTAATTCCACATTTGCAAAGATTTAAATTGTATTGATAAAGTCATTTTATTTTGTTTAGTACATTCCCACATGCAGAGTTTGCTGCAGAAGCCTGTCATTATTGGACAACCTGCTACCGCAGATGGAGAGGAGAGATTCTCTTGGATCATTTTGTGTCGGATAGAAGGAAATGCAACATTAATGTTTGTATCATGTCTCTAAGAAAAACTTTAGAGCTCCGGAAGCTATCCCAGATTTTCACATTAATAATAACTGAAGACAAAACTTCAATAGAGCCAACCAGAGAACAGAACCACATGAATCATGTCTGCCAGGGAGAATAAAAGATTCAGAAATACCAACATCCTGTGTTTTTCTTTTTTCTTCATTTCATATTATACAAAACTCAAAGACTTAAAAAATGGTTATTAGGGTTGGATCAAATCACAAAAATCATGGATTAGTGTCCCTATGTAATTCAGGGACATGACATTTAAATAAACCATTGGATTTCTATCTTACTGCAGGCAAGCACAATCCATACAGATAAATATCCAACAAACAAGCAAATGGATCAAAGCGAACTCACTCTCTCCCTGAGCTTCCTCTCTTTCCTCTCCTGCACGGTCGAGAGGTAGTTCACAGCTGCGTACTCTATCACTGAGAGGAAGACAAAGACGAAGCTGACCCAGAGGTAAATGTCCACTGCCTTGATGTAGGACACCCGTGGCATGGAGGCGTTGACTCCGGTGATAATGGTGGACATGGTCAGCACCGTGGTGATCCCTGCAGACAAGAGCACAAACATTTTTCCAAACGTACACACGTTGCTGATGTTTCCCAAGAAGTCTGATTGTTCTAGGATCTGCACGTTTGGTTTTGATTTGATCCGTTGAGGGTTGCCATATTCTGTTATTTTTGCCATATTAGTTCTATGTGTTTACTTTGTTTCTGTGTTTTTGTCTTTTTTTTTCCTCTGGTCATTAAGTTTTATCTCTTGATTAGATTCTGTCCTACCTTTTTTCTCCGTATTTCTTTGTTAAATCACTTTTCCCTCAGCCTTATCCCTCAGATAGCTAATTAGTTGTTTCTATGCACCTGTTTTGCCAATGGGGGAGTGGCAGCCTGGTGGTTAGGGCATAGAGCTTGGAATCCTGAGGTTCCGAGTTCGAGACCCACTCCCACAGACTGCCACTCTGGCTCTCTGAGCTTAACCCCGCACTGCTCCTTGGGTACCGTGCAATGGCAGCCCACTGCTCCTAAAGGGGATGGGTTAAATGCAGAGAGTAAATTTCATTGCTCTGGCCTTGTGACAGTGTATTGACAATAAAAGCTGGTTGCTAATATGCCTATCATTTGCGCCTGTTTACTCTTTTACTTAAAGGAATAGTACACCCAAAACATTTTCTACTCACCCCC